CAGATATTTCTGTTGGTGGTGGATCCTGCCAGATATTTCTGTTGGTGGTGGATCCTGCCAGATATTTCTGTTGGTGGTGGATCCTGCCAGATATTTCTGTTGGTGGTGGATGCTGCCAGATATTTCTGTTGGTGGTGGATCCTGCCAGATATTTCTGTTGGTGGTGGATACTGCCAGGTATTTCTGTTGATGGTGGATGCTGTCAGATATTTGTGTTGATGGTGGATCCTGCCAAATATTTCTGTTGGTGGTGGATGCTGCCAGATATTTGCCTTCCCTCCAGCTAGCAATTCAAAATTAGTCAATTGTGTAGTTTTGTGTTTAACAACAAACAAACATAATAGTAATTTTTTATTACTTAGATAGTTGGTATAATAATTAGAAACCCTGGTTTCAGTTAGTTGATTATTTTTGTAACATTTGTATAATCATAATATTGATTAATTGATTGAATTGTCCAGCTCTAATTATTAGTTTATTATAATAAATAATGTTAAACATTTAACAATTGAAATAATGTTAAACATTTAACAATTGGAAAGTCCTTATATCAGGTGAAATGTTGCTACAAATAAGTTGAAATAGATATTGTTTAATGTAGGTTCAATGAAGAAAGAATAGTTCTGTTTACATAAATTGTGGCTAAACAATCCATGTAAACTTAAGGTTAGTATAAGGAGTTCCATGTAAATGTTAGCCGGATTTCATAACTGTTTCTCACTAGTAGACATGTTAGACAGTAACGGAAAACTGGAACAACCAGAATCACCTGGTGATGCACTAGTATGTGAACAAGAGAAACAAGAATTCCTAACTCCAGAAAGTTCTCCTCCTAACACAACCAACGATCATGGCCATTCAGTAGAGATGGTGACCGATGAATCAGGACCAAGTACGAGCAGTGGAAGAGAGGATAAACTCAGCGATGAGAATGTAGAAAGTGGTATGTATTACAGTGAGTTTGTTAATCAGATTAATGACTTACTTCTCACAATTTCCGTGACTCGTGGAAACCATGTATGTTTAGTTTTCATGTATCAGATCGAAACTGTAAAAGTAAGGTCACCTCAAGGACAAAGGTGTGACAATATATAGTAATGAGGTAATTCTGAAAGTCACTTGTGTATATTCAATTAAGGGTGGTTTGGTTAACGCAAATTTTGTTTTGCATTTCTGCCCGAGAAAAGTTGGCATGATTCAGTGATGCTTTTAGGACGTGAATTATCATTAGAGCCAAAGGAATCTTACACATGCAATTAGCACGTGAATTATGCTTATTTTATGTATAAATATTGTTTTGTCTTTATCAACCTTTCTTTTGACCATTAATTGTCATGTGGTATGTCGGCAGCCTTAATAGATTACGTAACACAATAGTTAGGTTCCCGTCTGGATGGAGCACGAGGACCATGAACAAATTTTTAGCGCGTTAATAAAATAGTCCACGAGTCAGAGTTGTAGAAGGAACACGTGATACCCAGGGTGTGTTAAAGGTTATGAAAATTATGCTTTGCATGAGTGGTGACAACATTATTTATGTTAAAATTCGTACTTCTTGGAGGCGTGGTAAATAAACTTGGGAATAGTTGAGGTCTGGAGAGAAAATGTCACAATTCCCACACCAGGGGAAATTTGGGATTTTTTAAAATATTGCCTCATGAAATTAAGAACTTAAGACATGTATACTACTAACACTTGCATTATCAGCTATATTTATGATAAGAAAGTAGTTTAAATTTTGAATATAACTCACAAAAACCTCATGATATGCTCATAAAAAGATATCTATAGCAAAGTATTAATATATGAGAAGTGTACTTGGTGAAGAATATTCCGTTGTTTAACGGTTCTTTAAATGTATTAAAAGTTGAAATGTAATAATCGCGACTGTTAATATCCAATGGATTAACAGACTTTCTTGTGTATGTTCTGAAAACAGCATGACCGATCATGTTAAAACTTTGCAAGGTGGCATTTAAGTAAATTATGACCTGACCTACAGTGTTTTATTTTGTTTTAAATCAACACAGAAATCAAATGGTCGAGGATTTCAATCCTAGCCAAAGTGTGGGAACCATGCTGTTAGCTTGATATATCAAACATGGAAGAGTTTACAAGCTTAACCATCCAAGACGCTACAATACGTATTGATTTACAATTTTCCTGACAGTATTATTGACTTGAGAAAGTATACGTGTGACGGTTGAAATATAAAGTTATACGTCTGTAACAGTCTGTTTAAAATATTACTGAAAATTCATATTTAACATAGGCCTTCTACCCTCAGCTACTTGACTCCATGTGTCCCATTTTACTGACACCAAGGGTACTGCCATTACTTCTTTATGTGTGTGAGCTCTATAAGTTAGGTTCAAAGGTTGTGTCCCTCAAGTACCTATTGGTTAACATTTAATGACAATAGCTCTTTGTTACACTAAAGACCGACCACTTTTTTTAAAATGATAGCAAACTGAGATTTTGAAAAAATGGCTAAAACTTAAGAACAAATGAGCTTAGCAGCTAGACCTACATTATTGAGAGTGGGGAATTGTGTCGTACAGCTAGACCTACATTATTGTGTTGTACAGCTAGACCTACATTATTGAGAGTGGGGAATTGTGTCGTACAGCTAGACCTACATTATTGTGTTGTACAGCTAGACCTACATTATTGAGAGTGG